CATAGGCTGCAACCTTTGTTATATTAGGTGCCGACCCTCCAAAATGTAGCCATCAGTTCAAATTTAAAAATTTATAATTATTATTATAACAAATCATTAATGATTAGTTGAATTTACAATCAAATATGGGTGTCTATTACTAGTTTCCATAGTAGATCGACACAATATGCCTACATTATCGGAGAATGAGCTGACACCTTCCAAGAATAATCAGCCCTTCGTTATAGCATCAGTTGCCTTGTCGCTTTCGGATAGGAGCCGATATATTATATTCCTTAGAGCCTACAATGGGTCTGATCTAATGGCAAGGCTATATTGAATAGCAGGATTTAGGTATTGCAAGACAAATGATTTGTTTTATTCAATATAAAATGTTTAAACATATATTATTTAGATTCTAAATGAAGTCGAAATTTAATATACCTGCGTTGTGAATATCTTGATCTATATGGGTCATATACTTGTGATCAATCAATGACTTGTATATATCAATCAGCTTTCCACTCATTGTTCATTGCTTTTTTAACCTCCTCCTTGGCTGAAATCAACATATATGTTAAAGTGCCCATCTGTGGCCTCTTCAAATCGACTTTGTGGAAGACGATGTAAAGTGAGTCGATCGTTGTTACAATTTGAAAGATTGAATCCCAAATCTAGTAGACAGAATGTACTCCACTTTGTTCCTATCTGATGAATTGTTATATCAAGAATCAAGCCATTTTTATGATGTGGAGATTGTTTTTAGTCCAAGTTTCTTTTGTTAAATGAACTACAAAACCATAGAGTTGGTTTCTGCATCAAGGAGTGTATCAGTGACAGTGATTGAAAAAGGCGCTCGGGCGCTCGGGCGAGGCGAGGCGAGGCCCGAGCGCCTCGCTAATCTCCCAGGCGGCGCACTTCAAACAGGCGCCGCCTGGGCGCTCGCCCAAGCCCGGGCGCTGGGCGCTTCGGGCGAGCGCCTGAGCAAACCAAGACGATCGAACCAGGATTTTAGGTCTGGTTCGGTCCTGGTTCGGTTGGTTAGTTGGTTCAATCGAACCAACTAAACCGATATAACCCTTACCCAACCCTAACCCTTACCAAACCCTAACCCGTTGCCACTCCCGATCCCGATCCCGATCTCGCTGCTCGCCGCTGTCGCTGCTCGCAAACGCTGCCGTTATCGCCGCTCGCCGCTGTCGCTGCTCGTAAACGCTGCCTCTGTCGCTGCTCGCCGTTGTCGTTGCTCGCAAACGCTGCCTCTGTCGCCGCTCGCGCCTCCCGCTGCTCGTCGCTCCTGCTCCCGCTG